GGAGCGGCTGATTGTGTTGCTGTAATGAGGATTGGATTGTTTTTTTTGGGGGGGTTTTTTTGTCGTTTTCTTTGATTTGGGATTTCGTTTAGTTCTAGTGGAGTGTTCCGAGCTCTTTTTTTCTACGTTTTTTATGACAGATAACGAATTAAAAATGCAAATCGGCCCTTTCGGAGCTGTGGTTTTCAGTGTTTGTTTGCGGCTCTGGGCGACGAACTTGCTAGAGATGTTCAACTTTGACCTTTTTGCTGCTGCTGAGACGCTTCTGCCGACATACGGTTCACATCACACTTCACGAAGAAAATTAACGTTTGAGAAATAAGCAGACTTGAGGGGGACGAGGAGCGCTTGTGGACGTGCTCTTTCGCACCTGTTGTGGACTTTACGAAACAAATCATTATTACGACTTGAAAAATATATATATAGAAATAAGTGTTTAAAAAAAAAAAATACAAAAAAGCTGGAGAATGAGAGAGTACGAATACTACATGCCTTTCAGCTCCCTGGAGAGCGACCTGTAAATACATGTTTTGTTTTGTTTTCCAATAATAAAAATGCTAACTTTAATGCCATGTATTAATTTTTTGGCTTTTGTTTTGTCTGTATTTAATTTTTTTTCTTTTTGTGGTTTAACCACCCGGCTTGTATAATTATCATCCTCTAGTTAATGATTATAGTTTAATGAGATTATGTAAATATTTCTCTTTTTTTGCTTTAAGTATTTAATTAAGAGAAATTAATGCCTCTTTTCACATTTGAAACTGGAAGAGATAATAAAGAGCATTGCAATGAAAAAATGACAAAAACGTGTTGTTACTTTTCGGTTTTGGCGCTGAGATTTCGTTCCTTATTTCAGCGCAAATTTATCGACAAGATTTATCATGAGCTGAATATGTTTGGAAAAACTCTACAGACTGTGTTCCATTATAGTCGAGAATTTACTGGATTAATTTCGTCAGTTATTATTTCATCCACCTTATTTTTAACGTACAGAGCGGCGCCGCCGTTTGTAAATTGAATTGTTTTCTTGCTTTAAGAAATCGGTATGTTAAGCTCAGTTTCTGTCTGTAAGTGACAGATTTGCAACATTCAGATGAGAATTTAGGTGTGTGTGTGTGTGTGTGTGTGAGAGAGTGTGTGAGAGTGAGTG